TTCACTATACTTCATACTTCACCGTACTTCACCATACTTCACCATACTTCACTATACTTCACTATACTTCATACTTCACCGTACTTCACCATACTTCATACTTCACCATACTTCACCATACTCCATACTTCACCATACTTCACCATACTTCACCACATTGGTCAGTGCAGGCTGGTGAGGGGGTTGGTGTCCAGGACCATTTGAGATGTCACTCCCCTCCTGGCCGGGAATCGAACTCAGACGGCCCGGTCCGTGAAGCAGCACCGACACAATATGTATTGTATCAGTGTTTACTGGACTTCTGTGAAAAAGTGCTTTAGAGAGTATCGGATTCCTCCAGTATAAATACATATTCTGAATGTCTGTATCACCCTCTCGGTGTGTCTGTATTTCTGCATGGCTCCCCCGAATCACTCTATCCCCAACATACGCTATGACAAGTGTCCAGTATTCTCACGTGTGTATGTCTGTCTGTAGACCTGAATATGGAATGCTCCGGTGGGCTTGACAAAGAAGCTGTACATATAGCCGTCCGCAATAATGCCACTGTAAAATAACTAGAAAATCGATTACAACGGGAGTATTGTTCATCCTGTACACTCACCCTCCTCCCCTCTGTGGACTATGTGCCTGACTTAATCCCACTGCAAGAGTGGGCGACTGTCACTGCTAAGAATACGAGGCTGTGTGCCTCTCTTCCACGTGTCCTCACATTCCCAGCTGCCCTATGCGGTTTTAGTGCAAAAAAATTTCGAACTCAAAAAAACATCGTACAACAACCGCTCCACTCAGCCAGTCTTATAATATAACAAATATATACGTAAATATATAAACAATATAGCATCCAGTCTATCTCATTCTAACATTCAACGTTATGCTAATTCTATTATTCTTCATATCCCCAGGATCTTAACTAGATACTGTATTGAAATAAAATTACAAGATAACTGTATAACCATTCGTAAAAAAAAAAAATCTAACTTAATACCCTTGAAACTTCACCTGAATGCACACATTTAAATTGGTACAACCTTTCACTGATAGCGACCACCAGCAGGCCTGATGGTGCTGGCTATATCAGCCAAACGTATCGCCCATTCACATGCTGGACTATTGATCTCCAACAACGCATGGGGGTTGTGCTGCTGAACCCTCGGGACGTTTGATTCGCGTGACGTCGTTATTAATTGGCTGTGTCAGATGGAGGAGGGTTTACGACACATTCTATGTTCGCCATCTGATCCCTAAAAAATAATTCTGAATCCTCGTCACGATCCATGGGCAGATAGCCCCCGTAGGTATCCACTACACATTTCTTAATTTGTTCAAACTTTCCTCTGCCTTGTGCCAATGAGTTCAAGTAGTGCCACATCTTTATGGCACCAATCTCTTATGTCATCTTCAAGCCAGTCCTGAATCATGATGCCCTAATTTGATTTTCTTTCGCTGAGATCCATTTATTCTACTGTCAGTCCAATTCCAAGCGTGCATGTACTATATTCTTGGTTCTTTCAGTAAAGTCACGTAGAAGGGAAACAATAAAATAATAAAAATATAAAACAATAAAATTCTCACGACGTTTCGACTGCAACACAAGCAATCATCATCAAGTGTGAAAACCACAAGAAAATTTGAAAAAAGTGGCGGTTTTTTAATGTTAGCACCACGGAGAGCGATTTGACAGCTTGTTCAGATGGATGAGTCCATCTATGTTCAGAAAAGAGGGGGGCAACGAAAAATAATGGATCTGGTCTGAAAGCCACCTTAAGCGTGATCAATCAATTAAGACCCTAAATGGTTTATCAAATCCTTCCAATGATTTCTAAGCCAGAATCCATCTTCTCGGTTGAAATTGTCTCTGTGTTTGTGGATAGCTTTAAATCGTGCGTGTACTGTATGATTCTTGGTGCACTCTGTATGCAACTTGAAATGTGCACAGATTGCAAGCGTTTCGCACATTGCTATGGATTTGCACGGAGTGATGACATTATTTAACGTGTGGGAGTGATGGTAGAAGCTCTGCATAGCGAGATGTATGGATGACTTCATCCAGCAGTGGACAATGGCCAATGATGATAGTTTCAAGTTCGAACTTCTTTTTGGTTTTACCAAGTCAGATCTCAAGAGACCAAGAGAAGACGCCAACGATGTGGGATGTGGGAGACGTCATCACGCAGATGTGCCTGGTAACGTCACCGCGCGCGTGTTAAGAATCCAGCCAGGCAGGCATGAATCCAGCCAGGAAAACTGTTTTTCTTTCCCTTACGGTATGATCGGGCCTGCTGAAAACGCGTGGCCGCAATTCGCGAACGTTGCTTCCTTAAGTCACGTGGTCTCCTAAGGACACGTGGCCTCCGCAAGAGGCTGAGTCACACGAGCACGCGGGACCCTGAGCTTCCCGTAAACATGACGTCACACTTCCGGAGGGGGGGAGGGTGCCCGTGACGTCGCAGCCCCTCACACCATATAAGGGTAAAAGGAAGTGCGTGGGCTGGCCTCACTGGAATCGCCCTGACGTTGACACGGACCACGCCTACCACGTGTTGGCGTATGTGCGTGTGTGTGTGCGCACTGGGTACCTGGTGCGGTGTGTAAACATCGCCGCTGGGAGACAAAGGCGGCCGGGCGTGGTGCTGGCTACCCACCCCATCGGGTGTCGTGCCGGCCTTCATCGGTGCTCGCTAACAGCACTTGCCCCAGCAGTATGTTAATGCTATACTGGGGATCTTTGTCTTTGTGTATATTGTACGGAGGAAAATCCCCAGTTCTGTTTTTTTTAAACTTTACACAGCATTGTCATTTTTTTTCTCCCTGTGGGAAAAACCCACCGAGAGCCTTCCAGCTGCAGAATAAAAATAAACAAATGATCGATCTTCCATTTGATTAAACAGATTCGGCAATAACACTGTGACCTTAATTTATTTTGAAAAAATGGCAACGTTTGGGAAATGGGCTTTCTACATAGCGTGTAAATGATGGGCTTAATTTTTGTGCGCTCAAGAAAGGTCGTTTCCCATTACATGGTATATCATTTGTTTACTTGTTGGCCGCAGTGTTATTGACGAATGTTGTATTACTTTTTGGTTCTTTCGGTAAGGTCACGTAGGTATAAAATTAAATAAATCACGACGTTTCGGGCGCAACACAAGCGTCCATCATCAGATGGGAAAGCATGGTCTGCTGCTGAGGCAGACTGTTTTAAGAGGTTTGAAATGGGTGTAGCTCAATGGTTAAAAAGAAGTGGCCGGGGCTAGTGATGTTAATGTGAGAAATTATCATGTAACTGTAAGATAGAAGAGCGGCCTCCTAAACGAGGGCACGGAAGTGGCTATGTTAATGTGAGAGATTAGCATGACCCTTGGGCTACACCCATTTCTAACCTTTTAAAAGTCTTCCTCAGCAGCAGACCATGCTTTCCCACCTGATGATGGACGCTTGTGTTGCGCCCGAAACGTCGTGATTTATTTTATTTTATACCTACGTGACTTTAGCGAAAGATCCAAAGAGTATGGATCCCCGCAGTCACGAAAGATTCAAATCAAGATTGAATGTTTTATTGTGTGCTTGTGCATCACGCACAGCCAAAAACCAGCAGCTGCATAACCAAATAATTTGATTCATAATCAAGTTTTTTTTGGGGCTAAATCGCGTAAATGTGTCGTCAAACCCGCCACAATTCGACACAGTCAAATAGTAAGGTTTGTCTCGGAAACAAAACGTGCCAATTATTTACTTCAGCGCACCAGTGTGTTAGAGAGTAAACCTTAATTAGATGTGTGAGGTGGTGGCAGATTTGACGACACATTTATATTTATGCACTCTAGCCCAAAAAAAAACATTATAGATATTGGTCGCGAAAACCTACCTACCTTTAAGCAGCTTCTCAAACAACATATTTTTTTATTTTATTTTACTAAACGGATCTCTGAGCTGGACCTGAGGGTCGCTGCCTTTGGGCGAGTGAAAATTGTGCACGTTACAAATTAGCATTATTAAACCAAATTACTTGATTAATTCCAAAATTTGGTCTTGCATCGGATTGGGAACGCCTTCATCCAGCAGTAGCTGGACCATGCCTGATGTTGATGGTAATAATGAAGTTAGGTTAACAGCAATTGACATTAATACATGGACATTGTGATGTGTGTGCCAGCATTGGTAACACGTTATACATTGTGTCAAGTGCAAGTGTGTATTCAAGCTACGTGTAAATGTATTACAACACATTATGGCCTGGACACATTCCGCCTTCCTTTATATCTTCGGATACATTTTCAGGTGAGGCATATTAACCCATTAAAATAAAAATGCATTTTATGAGGTCACTTTGCAATTCGTTTTTTTAAGCCAGGGTCAAGAGGTCACCAAGTCCGCTGCTTTTGATGTCACCACACCTCGCCATCGCTTCCTTCCTTCTGCTAGACTCCACAGTCGACACCCGATATCCTAAGACTACTTTTACAATCTCATACAAGACAAAGTTCACCCGTGTAGCTTTTAACATACTGTCGAGACAAGTGCTGTTAGCGAGCAGCACCTACGAAAGTTGGCATAGCACACGAGGGCGTAGGTGGCCAGCACCACGCCCGGTGGCGTTTGCCCCCCCAGTGCTGATGTTTACACAGCGCACCAGGTACTCATTTAAGGCTGAGTCAACCAACATTCTCACCGCCAGCAGCATCTTCCTTTGTCTTCACCTTGGCTGTCATCCTCTGGGCGCCACTTTGATGCCTGTTTCAGCAACGTCCCCACCTCTATCCGACGCACGTGTCCCCCATGACGTCTGCAATTCTTCCGAGGCTCTTCCTAGGCCCAACTTAAACGTTGCTTCTCCTGTATTGCAATAATCCTACACGTGCACTGGTGTTCGAAATCCAGAAGCGTCTGGCCCTGTGTGTCTGTGTTTGTTTGGCTTTTTGTCTCAAAACACTTCCCGTCAAAATACAATTTTAGGGAGTGGTTCGCACGGAGAGCAGACGGATGACTCAGCAGAAGACCAATCCTAGACTCGTTTGCAACATTTATTTATTTTCAATCGTATGTAAGCCACACTCGCCACGATGTATAGCTTTCAATATGTAGACCGCGTTACGTGTAACAAATGCCCATTTCTAAATACACAGTGCTAGAATGCCTCTTTGGCAGAAAATACAAAAAACACAACTGGCACATCAGGTAACAGAAAATAAAGTTTTTTTCACTTAAGGTACGTAATTATCATTTATGTAACAGTAGCAGCTAAACACAAAAAAGTAGCATAATAATGTGGTCGTGCGTCACCGTTCGACAGCAGTGATTAATAAATTCCACATTACCGTGGCAGGGTTAGTCTGTAAATAAATCAAGACATCTCTCGCTGTTGACTTCCTGTGCACACGTGGCGTGGTCAACGCCAGGTCGTACTCATATCAGCCACCCCGATGAGATGATGGTGAAGACGATGGTGATTATAGGCTTAGTTGGACAAGTGCTATATATTGTACTGTGGTAGTATCTAAACTGAGAGATCAAAATATATAAATATTTCTTTCAATTAAAATCCTATATACAGTATCATTTAATTTGTTCCATAAATTACCAATTAGTTGCAAAAAAGGGCACTGAGGACAAGGCTCTATCCAGCAACTGGGAGAAATGTAAGCCCATTTTTACAACTCTACATTGTCATGGCAGGTGCCAGTCCATCAGTGACACCACCACCGCTGACTTGTACCAATTACCAGACATTCTCGCGAAGGTTGGAGCTTATTTTATCTACCCCAGAGATGATGATGGTGGTGATGATGATGATGGATTGACGTTCAAGAGTCCCCACTTTGTCGAGACGCACACCATCCTTCTTGTCTGCGACATCAAACATCAACCGGAAGCGCTCACAACACGCGTGGAGTGGTCACATCAACCAATGGGGTCTCAAGAGATCCCAAGCGCCACCATCGTAAATCCTTATATTACAGGTCCATGTAATATATAGACTCGCACGAATAAAGGAAACCATACTCCGTTATGCCTGGCTGTCAAAGTCTAAAGTACTTAACCAAAGCATTGTAGCCATTAGCACTTTTAGCATGACAGTACGTTTTCCATGTATTTGCATTTTTCATTAAAAACTAAATTAAAAATCGATTGAAAAATATTCACATAAAGCCGGTAAACGTTAATACATGTCAAAGTATCTCTTTTGTTTCAAAGACCACAAAATATAAGCAGGAAATGATACATCTATTGAAGATATAAAAAAGTGATAAAATGAATACAGTACAATGTGTAAGATGCAACATGTTTCACATTAGTCCGTATGATGGACTCCAAGTTAGTTTGACCAACCGCCGAGTTTAACACCGCAGAGTTGGTCATTGATAAATCTAAACCTGGCATGGAACACCACAAATGGATTCGGACTATATAAAAAAACGCTCCTCCAAGGGCCATTCCGCAATCCAATTATACCATGCCAGGCCAAGTTTGATAATAAAAAAAGGCCATTCCAGATATTGAGAGCAAACCTCACTATTAAAGACACCACTTCATCTAGATAAACCACTTACGTACTCAGAACGATTTGTAAATTGCAAGCAGAACATCGTGTCACGTGGTGCGGAAAATTTTGGAAATTGTGAAACGTCATCTTGAAATTTGGATCTGTCTCGAATTCAGAGGGTCACCCTGTTCAGGCGTGCAACGGAGTGGCCTATTAACAGTGGTGGAAATTCCGCATTAAAATTAAACTATTTTTTTTAATTTTTACCAGGTAAGGCCCAATGAGCTATATAGCTCTTTTTCCATAGCGACCGGGCCACAAATTATAGCCCAATGAAGTGTTTTATCACGTGGAAATGTATAGCAGCCATATACCCTAAACGCAACATTCTAAATGTGGAGGGAACACCCGGAAATCCCCGAGAAGAAAACACGCGCCCACGGGGAGAACATGTCAATTCCACATATACAGCAGACGTCAGGGTCGGGATCGAACCCACGAACCTCCTGTATGCCAGGCGAGGAAGTTAACATCTCGCCACCGTGGCGCCCTGAACAGTACCATAAAGTAGTACCAAATGTATTACCCCCCAATCCCTGGGGGTGATTATGGGTTGAATTGACGCCCCAATATAGGTTTTCTTTTACTTTCCCAATGTGAGTCAGTCGGTGTAACCATAGTAACAATCGCTCGACCACGTGGAATGTCTGCTTGTGAATTACACCGTGCTTAAACGAATGTCAGAGCATCAGTTAATCTGTGTGTGCCGGGTGCCTTTAAAACACAAACACAGATCTATAGCAGCTACGCAATTGCATTTTACACGCGCGCGTGTGTGTGTGTGTTTGGTGTGTGACCGATTGGGCAATTCATGACTCACATTTGACTTCGAAAAAAATTGTCGATATGGATTTTGAAGTCAGATTTACACTTCACAGTAGTAAAATTATAATAGGACCTTTGACAGACCATCCATTACCGAACATCTTGTTCGAGTTGCCATGGTGCTGCTAACTAGGGTTTGGCTTGCGTACTGAGTGTTGGCCCTTTCTTACCGTACAGCAAGCGGGCATAGCAACACAGAAAAAATAACCACCACCACCACCATCACCAAACATTTTGGTGAACACTGTTGAGATTTGAAAACACAGCTGTCGGCGATTCATTGACCGGAGGGATCCGCCGCTGAGCTTGAACGCGCGTTGGGGCACCTTTAACTCCACGCTCCGCTCATCGTCAAATTGAAGACAAAAAACGGTGGCGGTGGCTTCCGGCGGCTCAAGGAGAGAGAGAGCGCCCGTGGCGAGACGCTCTGTTCTACTGCTGGATCCCCCCCGCCCCCTCCACCGAGCCAGTAGTGGAAACTCCACGTTCATATGGCAGGAGCCAATCACAAATATAGGACCATGTATATGACAGCTTATACAACTACACACACACAGTACTGTATAGTCAAAGGCAAAGTGTTTCAAATAAAACGAGTACTGGGCAGTGCCCATCACCATTGCTGGTGCTCGTGCCCACAATCATCTGGGGGGGGGGGGGGGCCCAGTCAATCTATAAAACCAGTTCACGTCTCATTACATGGTTACGAATTTTACTAATCCACTTTAACCCCCCTCACCGAACCCGCCCACGGAGGGATGGGTCGTAAAGTCAACCACAGCCTGAATTCGAACATATGCATGTGTGCGTGTGTATTGGTTGGCCACCCAGCCAGCAGCTACACACACACATGGCACCGCTTACAACATTCAGCCTGTACAAGGCACTTTCAAATCCCCTCCCCTTCTGAGACCCATATATTGTCTATTGTATTACAAAAGGCCCCCACGTGTAACACTGCAAGCCGCATGAATCATCAGGGCCCCCCAACTCTGGCCTAGGAACGTTTCAGCCCCGCGGGTTTGCCGAGGGTAGGAGTTTAATAAAAAAAAATTGTGGTGGGTAGTTGTTGTTGGCAGTGGTGGTTGAATACGTCATCCACAACCACCACCCACGCACCCCCCTGGGGGCTTAAAGGCTTTCTCATCAAAGGCAGAGTGGTGGTGACTCACGGCTTTTTTTGCAAAGCCAAAATGCCTCCACAATTAAAGCTCACTCACTCGCAGGCCTTAAGAGTTGTTTTGAAACCGGCTTGTTTCCACGTTGCCACTTCCCTTGTGAAAACTGAAGCCCCCCGCCCCAACCTCCTTTTCGGTGACTCCACCGAAACTATCAAATTCAGACCACCACTGAAAGCTCCGACAGTTGCCGGTCCCTTTAAGGGAAAGATCTATAAACACATAAATATAGGTCATCTCAAGAGAAATGCCTCCTTCTAAACATCTTTACATTCAATCTGCGGTCGCAAATATTCAATCGCACAATTTTCTTTAGCGCGTAAACATTACAATCTCATTATTTCAATTTCCGACCATGCTTTCGTATTTTAGTCGTAGAGTGCTGCAGTGGTATGTACTGTCACAGTACTATCACAGTAATGCAGTACTCATGTAGTACGGTACTACAGTGGCATGTACCATCATATCCACTGCGTTTTTCGACACCGTATCCTGCTAACGTACCACTCAATTAAAACTTGAGATATTACGAGATATTTTATATTTCAAATCGTAAGTGGGCACGCTGAACTTTGGGAAAAAAATCTCGATCGACAGCGCTGCATATTATTATGATCACAGCCAGTATTCCCGTCTCGAGAAGAATGATCCACGCGCATTGCCCTTGCAACTCGCTTGCCGCGACATTTGCCAAACGCACACGCGCGCCACTCGTCTCACGCCCTCCGCCGTGAACACGAGGAGCTCAGTCCACGCAAGCCCCTCTCGACGCATCATCATCATCTCCACGAGCTCCACAACCCTTCATGGGGGAAAAAAACACCCCCCCCCCACACCATCAACAACTCTCTCCCGTCTTTTTTCTCCTTCTCGTGGACGCAGCAGCAGCTGCTGCTGCGGGTCGCTGCCGACCCACAGCTGCTGCAGCTGCCACCACTGTCGCTGCCCCATTGCCTGCCCTTGCCGACTCGTTGGCTCGGTGAATCGCGTGACCCCTCTCCATCAAACACCTGCGGCCATCAGAAGGCCTGCAGAGCCGTGCCCTGGGTGGCCCCAATGGCCAAGCGGCAGCCTCTGCCCAGGTGATTGAGGACCCTCTGTTTCAGCTTGTCCACCTGTTCTCTGAGAGTCCCCGCCGTGCCCGCGAGCTGCGCGTTGTTGGCCTTGAGCGCGGCCACCTTCTCCTCCAGGCGGGCGATGCGCTCCAGCTTCCTCTTGCGGCACTTGGACGCTGCGATGCGATTGCGCAGCCTCTTGCGCTCCACCTTCATCTTCTCCTGCGACTCCATGTCCACCGGCGCCGTGGCCCCTCGCTCCATGAGGTCAACGGGGCCGGTCACGACCGCCGCCGCCGAGGAGGAGGATGATGTTGTTGACGAGGCGTTGGAAGGTCCACCCTCCTGCATGAGGTCGGGCACAGTCTGAAGGGTCTCCTCCTCCTTCAGCAGCAGGTGCTGGGACCTGGGCAGGTACTGCAGGGAGGTCGCGTGGCCCACGCTCTGTGCGTGCGCGTACAGGGCCGACGTTCCGTACTCGAGGCCTCCAGCGGAGGTCCCCGAGAGGCCCTGCTGGAGGCCGCCGCCGCCGCCTGTGGACGCCGAGGCCAGCCCGAGCTGCGGGCCGTAGCCGCCGAGGTCGGCGTAGCATGCGGAGGAGGCCCCCTGGCGACCATCGGCCGCTCCGTGCTGCAGCGTCGCGTAGCTGGGCTGCTGCTGCTGGTGGTCCTCGTAGGGAGCACAGTGGAGGTGGCTCACGACGGCAGGCGCGGGGGAGGCGCACGGCCCTCCAACGCCGCCGGGAACTCCTCCAGCCACGAGCAGCGAGGAGGAGACGCTGTGCCTGATGTTCTGCTTGTGGAGCTCCTCGAGGGCGCGCACGAAGCCATTGGCGAAGTTGTCCTTCTCCTCCTCGGCGCTGCAGCCGTGGCTGAAGGCGCCCGAGACCGTGCCGGCGTGCAGGCCCGATGACAACGGCGTGGACAGTCCCGAGCGGCCGCCACCGCCCTGGTGGAGATGGTGGTGGTGCTGCTGTTGTTGTTGTTGCTGCTGCTGCTGGTGGTGGTGGTGGATGATGAAGCGCTCCATGTCAGAACTCGACAGCCTCAGCATGGCCGACTCGGCTGGAGAAGACGACGACGACGATGATGAAGATGAAGCAGATGACAACGCTGGCGGCGGCGGTGGAGGAAGAGGTGGCGATGGTGGCGATGATGTTGATGATGATGATGCAGACACGAGAGATGACGTCGAAGACGAGGGTGGCAGCAGCGGTGGGCCCACGGACGCGGTGGCCTGCACTCCTTGCAGAGGAGACATCTGTGCGGCCGCCTTGCTCTGCCGAAGGACGTTCTTGCTCGAGTAGCTGGCGAAGGCGCTCACTTGGCCGAACGAGTGAAGGCCGATCACGTCGTCGTGATAGAACGGGGCCTCCATGGTTACACGTGGAGCGCGAGCAAGAAATGTCTTCGACGAGGTTTTTGCCGAGAGGTCCGACTAGCGAGTCGCTGCAGTACACAATGTAGACTGCATGTGACGAATGTGTCGGTCTTCTTCTTCTTTAGCAGCAGTAGGCGAAATTTGGCTAAAGTCTGCCCGCAGGAATCACCAAATCTTCTTGCTAATGTCGTATTGGCGATACAAATGAATTGTATTCGAAGCCTACAGCTGTGCGTGACACGCTACGTATGACGACCGCCGCCTCTATCCATAGCACCGCGTGCTGCTGCGATACATCATCCACAGCGAGGGTGTTATAACGTGTCTTGTCGAGACAAATGTTTACAGCCACCACCTAACTGCTGGGTAAGTAATGTTTGACGATGAATAATGTTGATGTTTGACGATGGGTGTGTAGTTTTTTTACGGAAACGTTGACGGAGCTTGTTGCTGCTGCGTAAACGAATCGCAGCAGCGATCCGTGTGTGAGCTCAGTGCTCTGTGGCTCCGAGCCTTATATCCACACACCCACGCCGCACACACACACACACACGCGTGTTACACACACGCACACGAGTTACACACACACACGCCCCACGTGTTACACGCACACACAGTCCCCTCCTCCCACCGCACACGGAGCGAGTCGCTCCCATCGCCGCGTTCCCTCTCCTGACGTCAGCGCGCTCGTCTTGACGTCAGCGCGCTCCGAGACGCATCAAGTTCCTCCCTTACACTCTGAACAATACGGTAGAGGTATCTTACACTCTGGACAATACGGTAGTGGTATCTTACACTCTGGACAATACGGTAGTGGTATCTTACACTCTGGACAATACGGGAGTGGTATCTTACACAGAACAATACGGTAGTGGTATCTTACACTCTGGACAATACGGTAGTGGTATCTTACACTCTGGACAATACGGTAGTGGTATCTTACACTCTGAACAATACGGTAGTGGTATCTTACACTCTGGACAATACGGTAGTGGTATCTTACACTCTGGACAATACGGTAGTGATATCTTACACTCTGGACAATACAGTAGTGGTATCTTACATTCTGGACAATACGGTAGTGGTATCTTACACTCTGAACAATACGGTAGTGTTATCTTACACTCTGGACAATACGGTAGTGGTATCTTGCACTCTGGACAATACGGTAGTGATATCTTACACTCTGGACAATACAGTAGTGGTATCTTACATTCTGGACAATACGGTAGTGGTATCTTACACTCTGAACAATACGGTAGTGTTATCTTACACTCTGGATAATACGGAGTGGTATCTTACACTGAACAATACGGTAGTGGTATCTTACACTCTGGACAATACGGTAGTGGTATCTTACAATACGGTAGTGGTATCTTACACTCTAAACAATACGGTAGTGGTATCTTACACTATGGACAATACGGTAGTGGTATCTTACACTCTGGACAATACGGTAGTGGTATCTTACACCATGGACAATACGGTAGTGGTATCTTACACTCTAAACAATACGGTAGTGATATCTTACACTATGGACAATACGGTAGTGGTATCTTACACTCTGGACAATACGGTAGTGGTATCTTACACTGAACAATACGGTAGTGGTATCTTACACTCTGAACAATACGGTAGTGGTATCTTACACTCTGGACAATACGGTAGTGGTATCTTACACTGAACAATACGGTAGTGGTATCTTACACTCTGAACAATACGGTAGTGGTATCTTACACTCTGGACAATACGGTAGTGGTATCTTACACTATGAACAATACGGTAGTGGTATCTTATACTCTGGACAATACGGTAGTGGTACCTTACACTCTGAACAATACGGTAGTGGTATCTTACACTCTGGACAATACGGTAGTGGTATCTTACACTCTAAACCATATGGTAGTGGTATCTTACACTGAACAATACGGTAGTGGTATCTTACACTCTGAACAATACGGTAGTGGTATCTTACACTCTGGACAATACGGTAGTGGTATCTTACACTCTGGACAATACGGTAGTGGTATCTTACACTCTAAACAATACGGTAGTGGTATCTTACACTATGGACAATACGGTAGTGGTATCTTACACTCTGGACAATACGGTAGTGGTATCTTACACTCTGGAAAATACGGTAGTGGTATCTTACACTCTAAACAATACGGTAGTGATATCTTACACTATGGACAATACGGTAATGGTATCTTACACTCTGGACAATACGGTAGTGGTATCTTACACTGAACAATACGGTAGTGGTATCTTACACTCTGAACAATACGGTAGTAGTATCTTACACTCTGGACAATACGGTAGTGGTATCTTACACTCTGAACAATACGGTAGTGGTATCTTATACTCTGGACAATACGGTAGTGGTATCTTACACTCTGGACAATACGGTAGTGGTATCTTACACTCTGGACAATACGGTAGTGGTATCTTACACTCTAAACCATACGGTAGTGGTATCTTACACTATGGACAATACGGTAGTGGTATCTTACACTCTGGACAATACGGTAGTGGTATCTTACACTGAACAATACGGTAGTGGTATCTTACACTCTGAACAATACGGTAGTGGTATCTTACACTCTGGACAATACGGTAGTGGTATCTTACACTGAACAATACGGTAGTGGTATCTTACACTCTGAACAATACGGTAGTGGTATCTTACACTCTGGACAATACGGTAGTGGTATCTTACACTATGAACAATACGGTAGTGGTATCTTACACTCTGAACAATACGGTAGTGGTATCTTACACTCTGGACAATACAGTAGTGGTATCTTACACTCTGAACAATACGGTAGTGATATCTTACACTCTGAACAATACGGTAGTGGTATCTTACACTCTGGACAATATGGTAGTGGTATCTTACACTCTAAACAATATGGTAGTGGTATCTTACACTCTGAACAATACGGTAGTGATATCTTACACTCTGGACAATACGGTAGTAGTATCTTACACTCTGGACAATACGGTAGTGGTATCTTACACTCTAAACAATACGGTAGTGATATCTTACACTATGGACAATACGGTAGTGGTATCTTACACTCTGGACAATACGGTAGTGGTATCTTACACTGAACAATACGGTAGTGGTATCTTACACTCTGAACAATACGGTAGTGGTATCTTACACTCTGGACAATACGGTAGTGGTATCTTACACTCTGGACAATACGGTAGTGGTATCTTACACTCTGAACAATACGGTAGTGATATCTTACACTCTGAACAATACGGTAGTGGTATCTTACACTCTGGACAATACGGTAGTGGTATCTTACACTCTAAACAATATGGTAGTGGTATCTTACACTCTGAACAATACGGTAGTGATATCTTACACTCTGGACAATACGGTAGTAGTATCTTACACTCTGGACAATACGGTAGTGGTATCTTACACTCTAAACAATACGGTAGTGATATCTTACACTATGGACAATACGGTAGTGGTATCTTACACTCTGGACAATACGGTAGTGGTATCTTACACTGAACAATACGGTAGTGGTATCTTACACTCTGAACAATACGGTAGTAGTATCTTACACTCTGGACAATACGGTAGTGGTATCTTACACTCTGAACAATACGGTAGTGGTATCTTATACTCTGGACAATACGGTAGTGGTATCTTACACTCTGGACAATACGGTAGTGGTATCTTACACTCTGGACAATACGGTAGTGGTATCTTACACTCTAAACCATACGGTAGTGGTATCTTACACTATGGACAATACGGTAGTGGTATCTTACACTCTGGACAATACGGTAGTGGTATCTTACACTGAACAATACGGTAGTGGTATCTTACACTCTGAACAATACGGTAGTGGTATCTTACACTCTGGACAATACGGTAGTGGTATCTTACACTGAACAATACGGTAGTGGTATCTTACACTCTGAACAATACGGTAGTGGTATCTTACACTCTGGACAATACGGTAGTGGTATCTTACACTATGAACAATACGGTAGTGGTATCTTACACTCTGAACAATACGGTAGTGGTATCTTACACTCTGGACAATACGGTAGTGGTATCTTACACTCTGAACAATACGGTAGTGATATCTTACACTCTGAACAATACGGTAGTGGTATCTTACACTCTGAACAATACGGTAGTGATATCTTACACTCTGGACAATACGGTAGTAGTATCTTACACTCTGAACAATATGGTAGTGGTATCTTACACTCTGAACAATACGGTAGTGGTATCTTACAGTCTGAACAATACGGTAGTGGTATCTTACACTCTAAACAATACGGTAGTGGTATCTTACACTCTGGACAATACGGTAGTGGTATCTTACACTCTGGACAATGCGGTAGTGGTATCTTACACTTAACAATACGGTAGTGGTATCTTACACTCTGAACAATACGGTAGTGGTATCTTACACTCTGGACAATACGGTAGTGGTATCTTACACTCTGGACAATACGGTAGTGGTATCTTACACTCTGGACAATATGGTAGTGGTATCTTACACTCTAAACAATACGGTAGTGGTATCTTACACTATGGACAATACGGTAGTGGTATCTTACACTCTGGACAATACGGTAGTGGTATCTTACACTCTGGACAATACGGTAGTGGTATCTTACACTCTAAACAATACGGTAGTGATATCTTACACTATGGACAATACAGTAGTGGTATCTTACACTGAACAATACGGTAGTGGTATCTTACACTCTGAACAATACGGTAGTAGTATCTTACACTCTGAACAATACGGTAGTGGTATCTTACACTCTGAACAATACGGTATTGGTATCTTATACTCTGGACAATACGGTAGTGGTATCTTACACTCTGGACAATACGGTAGTGGTATCTTACACTCTGGACAATACGGTAGTGGTATCTTACACTCTAAACCATACGGTAGTGGTATCTTACACTATGGACAATACGGTAGTGGTATCTTACACTCTGGACAATACGGTAGTGGTATCTTACACTGAACAATACGGTAGTGGTATCTTACACTCTGAACAATACGGTAGTGGTATCTTACACTGAACAATACGGTAGTGGTATCTTACACTCTGAACAATACGGTAGTGGTATCTTACACTCTGGACAATACGGTAGTGGTATCTTACACTGAACAATACGGTAGTGGTATCTTACACTCTGAACAATACGGTAGTGGTATCTTACACTCTGGACAATACGGTAGTGGTATCTTACACTATGAACAATACGGTAGTGGTATCTTACACTCTGAACAATACGGTAGTGGTATCTTACACTCTGGACAATACGGTAGTGGTATCTTACACTCTGAACAATACGGTAGTGATATCTTACACTCTGAACAATACGGTAGTGGTATCTTACACTCTGGACAATACGGTAGTGGTATCTTACACTCTAAACAATATGGTAGTGGTATCTTACACTCTGAACAATACGGTAGTGATATCTTACACTCTGGACAATACGGTAGTAGTATCTTACACTCTGAACAATATGGTAGTGGTATCTTACACTCTGAACAATACGGTAGTGGTATCTTACAGTCTGAACAATACGGTAGTGGTATCTTACACTCTAAACAATACGGTAGTGGTATCTTACACTCTGGACAATATGGTAGTGGTATCTTACACTCTGAACAATACGGTAGTGG